GGTTCATAGAGATGTCCTACAACACGTGAACCATTTCCTTTAACATTTTCAATTAACGGGCCGTCTTCATACCCCGTCCGGTATGAGAGTGAAACGGACTGTCCCCATACCCCATCCAGTATGAGTGCCAAATTACTAAATTTCGATATCTCGTCCGGTATGAAGGTGAAACGGACTGTCCCCATACCTCATTCGGTATAAGCACCAAAAAACCAAACCTCGATACCCCGTCCGGTATTAGGCAACGTTCACGATAAAATTTCCTATATACCCGGTCCGTCCACCATCTCTCAGGATATCCAATAAGGCTGTTGTTTCGTCCATTCACTTAATCACACAATCTCCCATTTATCTTTAATATCCAGTTTTCCAATTCAATCACAATCGCATAAAACAAACAAAACATGTATCAGGGAATGCAATCACGTCCCAGTTTTCCAATTAAACTGTAGTCACATAAGGCAGCAATACATGCATTTAAAATTGTAAAATCGATCAAACAGATATTATCATGCATTCAACTGTAAAATAAATCAACAAAAATTAACAGAGAATAATTTTCAGTTCTGCCTCCATTAGTAACCCATAATTAATTATAGATATTTTTTAAATTGCACAAAATATCATATTATTGTTAATTAGACTTCAATTCCATAACAGAGAATAAGGTGAGAGATTCTTACTCAAATTGATATCCAAAATGCTAAACTTGTTGACTGCGCCTACTAACGGTTCCCGAGTTCTATAAATTTTTTTTTGGGATTAAACCGCGTTACAAGTACCTACAAATATCCTAAAAAACCCAAAATCAGTGTCAGGACTCCTTTTTGGCCAATTATGAAATTCTGGCACGGCGGCTCCGCCGCCTGCGGCGGAGGTTTGCCGCAAGTCGGCTATTTTCAACCGTTTTCGGCCGAATTCGCATCAATCCCTGCAAGAAAATACATTAAGGGGTCTCGATTGGCCCAAAAAAATAAAAAATTGAAACTCACCGACGGCGGGGTTCTTCGGTGCGACAACTTCGTTGGCTCACCTTTGCGATTGAGTATTTTGCTTCAGTCAACTTGTAGAGAAGGAAATAATGATTACAATGGTAGAAGAATTACGCATAACGGAAATCGGGAAGAGCCTCATCGGAGGTAATTTTTTGCAGCGGCAGCGCTGGGCTTTGCCCATGTTTTTCGGCCAATTCACCGGTCTTTTTGCTCCGATTTGGTCATGAGGGTGTCTAAAATTGAATTCCGAGTAAATGAATAAACTTTTACCTCTTTTGGCAGTCGAAAGTGGCTCCGGCGTGGCGGCGGCTTCCTTTCTTGGCAGCTGGGTCTTCTTCTGTGGCGAGAGTGTCTGGTGGCTAGGGTTAGGATTTGGTACAAAGAGGGTTATTTATATCTGTCTCCTTTTAATCTAGACCGTCCATCGTGTTTGATCTGGACTGTTCGATTGCAATTAAATAGGAAGTGAATCTGAATCGTTGATCGCATTTAAATCTGACCGTTCGATTGCGTTTGGAGAGAGAACGCATTTGAGTCGTCCGTGCGCGCAGGAGCGAATCTGGGCCGTCCGATCGCGGGTACGCAGATTGCCTGTGTGGCCTCCCGTGTGGTACTGCGTCAGCGTCCCTTACCACGCGGCGCGTTCTGGTTCGTCGGAGTTGCTAACTGAGCATCCTACGTGGCACAATTTTTTTAAATTACGTTTTGACCTATAATTTCTGATTTTTCTTTCAATAATACCACAAGAACCCAAACTTTCACTTTTTTTTTCTTAAAATTATTTTCAATTTTATCATTCACCTATTTTTCTTTATTTTTACATTAAATTAAAATTCAAAAATTCAAAAATTTTATTCATAAATTAATTTAAATTACATTAAAATTAATTTAGGTATTACACTTCTATTCAGATTCTTAGATATACGATTAAACAATTAATATCTAAATCACATAAATTTAAATTTTTTTTAATATTTTGACTTTCTTCAAAATTATCTCTATTTTTTATTCTATTTTTTCATATATACAAAAATTTATTTTTTTTATATAAAAAAAAGATATATTTTCTCCTACATTAATAAGCTAAGTTTAGAATTTTAATATCAAAATAATAATAATAATCAAAGTCAAGTGATTAGAACATAAAGTATATATCTTTATGAAGTAAAGTAATTCATTGACCAATAATTATTCAAACCACAAGTTTTTACCTATTAGAATTAATTCAACCTCTTATAATGAATTAGGAAACAAGTCTCTTCCCATAGCTCCTTGACTGAGAAAAAAAAAAAAAAAAAACAGCACACGGATTGTTTAAAAAGGAAAACACTTAACACACGGAATTGTTTCCTTTTTCAAAAAATGCAATTAATTTTATTTATTTATTTATTTATTTATTCACTTTTTTCTCTCTTCCTTCCTGTCTCTTATTAGTATGTATGAGTGACAGTCACGAATTGCCGTTTTCATATAAAGTTTCAACAACTCACACTTTAATCATGAACGCCACCACCTCCACCCATCATTCTTAATTTCCCACGCATCACCATTTCAACTTTCTTCCATTTTTATTCACTAATAATATAATTATCATGTTCAATACTTCTAATTATTTTCTTAATAATTTTATTTTGTTTTGTTTTGTTTTAATTTTAAAATTGTACGTATATTTTGTATAATTTTAATATATATTATTAAAAAAAAAATTAAGCGGCAAGAAAAATGTGACTACAAAATCCAAGTCTTAATATGAATTGTTACTTGATATATATATTTGTAATTGAATTATAAATTGAATAATACAGTTATATATGAAATAGTAAAATATTAAATTATTTAATTTTTTTTTTGGAGAAGAATGATTAAATTTTAATTTTATATAAAAAGGTGATTTATTTTTATATTATGTTATGAAAATTGGAGTCAACAAGCATGAGAAAACAAAACAATCATCACGTAGTGGATAAAATATTCAACTATATGAAAAACATGAATCTAGGAGACAGAGTTCTCCCCGGAAATATTTTTTATATTTAATTGAAAATTACAAAAGACAAATTAAGATTAAAATAAACAGAAAGAAGAAAGTGATTGTGGAAGAGAGAGTGATTGAAGAAATTTTTTTTTTTTTTTTTTTTTTTTCGGAAAGCATGCGGGCATAGAGCTAATGGTAACTGCTAAGCTTCATGATCGACATAGCCCGCGTGTGGAAGTTCCTTTAACCATTCAAAAGTCCTGTGACGTGACAAAGCTTGTTTTCCTTCTTGCTTTTCCTTTGATTTCTTCTTTATTTTCAGCTCTTGAAGCTTCTCTTCCATGACGGCTATGATTCTGTCGTTGCTCTGCTTCTTCACCTGATCACCCTTACAGCTTTTAATGATGACGATGTTGTTTAATGGAACTGTTTCGACTGCACTGACAGAACATTTACAGCCATTAAACAACGCTTTTCTCTTCTCCATGAAACTCGGTCCCCTCTGTTTCTCTATTCTGAATTCTCCCTGACTTGTCCTGTTGGAATTCTTCACACTCGAATTGCTGTTACTGCTGCTCCAACTGTTGTTACGACTCACTGAACCTCTGTTTATGTTGTTGGTGGTTCCGCCGGCGGTTCGCAGTTCAATTTCCGGCGCACGAACTAAACCGAGTCTGAAAAAATCCCACATCGAAAACTTTTGGATCCGCGCGCTGACAGGATTTCCATTTCTAGCAATGGAAGTTCTTAATTGCGGTTTGGGACTCGGGTGGGTGATGATGAACTGGTTTCTGATTCGCGGATTGGAATTTCTCGCGTTGTTGTTTGTTGAGCTCGCAGAGCTGCTTGAAGAAGAATAATGGCTTCTGCAACTGCTGCTTCTGCTGGTTGCACTGCTGGTGAACGGACCCGCCGATAAGCAATGGTCCATGGATTGAGACCTGGATACGCACCGGCTAGGGTTCCGGTGGAACTCGAATAATCCTTTGTCGGAACTCACCGAGTGACGCAGTGGTAGAATTTGGCCTTTGAAGAACACTTCGTCGGCTGCGCACATCTCCGCTTGCTCTGCCGAAATAGACCCGACCCATGACCCGAAATCAAAATCTTCACCCGTTTCAACTCCCCGAGTTTCTTCTTCATGTACGGATTTTTTAAAATTTCCATCTTCTTCGATCAAATTGACTGGTAAGTCACACAGAGACAACGCTTCTTCTTCTTCTTCTTCTTCTTCTTCTTCGTCCACTTCTCTTGACCCAGATTTGACATCTCCTTCATATTTTCCTTCTGTTTCCTCCACAGTCAACATTTGAATCTATCTAACTCTAGATTCAAAAAGTCTCAAATGGGTAACTCCGGATTCGAAAACTCTCTCACGGGTAAGCTATGACTCCGTGGAAGAACCGAATAAGATGAAAGAAGATATTTGAAATTGAGAGAAAGGAGACAAGTGGAACATAAAGAGAGTAAAGCCCCTGCAAAAGGAGGAATTAAAGAAATAATAGAAATTGAGAAGTCACTGCAGGCAACCCAACCAGGGGGGACCCTTTATTGTTTCCAAATGAGAAAAAAAAAAAAAAAAAAAAAAAACACATTACTGAAGAATCATCGAGCCGGCTAATCAACAAATGATCCAGAATTTTTGTGGTCCGGCTTTTCAGTAAATATAAATTATTGCGGAGCACAGGAGGGTTTGGTCTGCGCAGGCTGTGCTCTAGTGGGTTTTAAAAAAGGAAAAGGGAAAAATAGTAGCTTCGCATGCAAAAAGTACTGTGGAGAAATTTTACATAAATTCCTTTTTTCTAAAAACTAAAGGATTGATTTTTATTTATTTATTTAGTTTATTCTTAATTCTATGGTAATTAGTGTTTTAATGTTAAAATATGAAATAATTTGTTATTTTAATAAAAATATTTTTTCTCTCTTGACTTTATTTTATTGCAATTCTACTTTTATATTTCTTTATAAAATTTAATAATCTTATGGTTCTTTTAGATAGTATTAAATAATATAAAATTATGATATTGCGATTATTTGATATAAAAATTATAAAGTTGTATTAAAATTATGACTACATTATGTTCTTCAATTTACAGCTAATAACAATTCAGTACAATCCCATTGCTACAAACTATATTTTAGTGCACTTCTGTAATATAATAATATAAAATAACATAATTACACAATAATTAATTAACCGTAATATAATTGCATACTATCAATTGAATCAATGTAATACTTGACAAAATTAAGAAATTAAGTTCTTAGATAATCTAAAAAATTTACATTTAAATCCAATTCCAACATGAATTTTGATTTAAAAAGTTATGCTTCTTTCGCTTCTAATAGTACGAGTTTTAATAATATTGTTTTGCTAATACAATTTAGTACGAATTTTAATAATATTATTTTGTTAATAAAATTTACCACAAAATTATTAAGATCACCATATATATTTAAAATTTATAATATGCACATATGTATCATTTTACATTAAGATCATTTAAATATATATATTAGTTATATTAAAATTTTATCTTTAAGAAAATATCTAGATTTTATTAACTCGTTGAAAATTAAAAAAAAAATAAAATATTAAGAGAAAATAAAAATTGATCAAATTATAACGTGAAACTCATGCTAAGTATATAAACTTGAAAATTTAATTATTAAAGTGCTTCGAATTAAAACTGTAGAGGTTCGAAACTTAAAAAGTAATAAAGTTATAAATTAAATGCGAAAGCGAAATAATAGAGTTTAGAGTTTACATTCCTTACACAATAATTTAGAATGACTAATAGGATTACGAGAATGTCAATTCCAAAAAAACAAACGAAAATCAAAGAAATAAACAAAAAGCAAATAACTGAGTATTTTAGAACGACCTTCATTAATTTTTGAAGGGAGTCCCGATAGTGAACTTATTCACAACTCTCTTGTTGATCGGGATCTGGAGCTTGGTCCTCTTGATATGAAATAGTTAATGAAAGGTTGAGTTACACTAAACCAATAAAAATATTATACTACTCACCGATACAGAAATTGAAGGTTGGTAAAAATTATAAAAATAACTAATAGAGCTCTTGATTTAAGTAAATTCATTTATCATAAGGAAAACTATTTATTGCATATATTTACTGTTGTGAGATTTCCAAAATCGACCTATAGAGATATAATAACTCAAATAACATTCCAATATCATTTTCAAGTGAGCAATAGCAACCACTTTCTCTTTTTAATTGTCTACTAGTATTCTTGGGGGCTCATAAAGATGTCCCACTATGCGTGAACTAATATCTAACATTGTCAACTAACCGGCCGTCCCCATACCCTGTTCAATATGAGCGCAAAAAATATCATTCTTCAATACCTCATCCGGTATGAGGATGAATCGGGTCATCCTCATACCCCGTCCGGTATGAGCGCTAAAATTAGCATTCCTCGATATCTCGTCCGGTATGAGGTAACGTTTATAGTAGAGTTCTCTATGTACACGGTCCATCCACCATCTCTCAGGATATCTAGTAAGACTACCATTCATTAATTCACATGACTAAACAAATTTTTATTTGCATATTAATTACAAATTTCACAAATCAACCATAAATTATACAAGACAAATAATATATATATATATATATATCAAGGAAGCACAACTGAATCATTCAACCATTCTAATATATCATCATGTATTTAAATTTATAAATTCAATAATCAGTTAAATAGGACAAATAAATAACTAACCGGTTTCAGCTCAATTAGTCATCCGTAATTATTCTCAAAGTTTTTTAATTTACACAAAATATCATATTGTCGATTAATAAACTTCAATTCCATAACAGAGAATAAGGTGATGGATTCTCATCCGAATTAATGTCCGAAATACCGAACTTTCTATTTGTAGCACCCGGAAAGGAGGAGGAAAAAAAAAAAAAAAGAGAGAGCCACGTCAGCAGGCTCGGTCAGCAGTCCCGGCCAACCGGGGGCCTGCCACGTGGCAAGACCACGTCGCTCCGAAAAGGAGCCACGTTGGCGATCCGACGGCCCAGATCAATCGCGCGATCGGACGGCCCAGATTCAATCGCACGGACGGCCCAGATTAAAACGAAATGGACGGCTGAGATCAAAAGGCAAGGGGTTATAAATAGAACCCCCACACCATACCACAAACCCTAGCCGCCTGCCGCTCGCCGGAGAAGACGAACCAGAAGCCGGCCGCCGCCACCCGCCGCCGTACCGGAGGAACTTCCGACCGCCGATCGAGGTAAATTTCGTACCCCCGACTCGTTTTTCCACGCCGATTCCTCCTGTGGCCAAATCGGAGCCAAAATCCCGGCCAAACGGCCGAAATACGCTGCCGAAGCCCAGCGGTGCCGCCGCACCCCTTCTCGGTTTTTGCCTCTGATGAGGCCCTTCCCGGCCTCCGTTTGATGCAATTTTTATATCACCGTGATCACCATTCTTTTCTCTACAGGTTGACCGAAGCCGAATCACCAAAACACGAACCTCGCCGGAGAGCCGCCGCACCCGAGAGCGCCGCCGCCGGTAAGCTCCATTTTTCCGTGATTTTTTGGCCCCCCGAGGGTCCTAGGGTTGTTTTCTCACAGGGACTGATGCGAGTGTGGTCGAATTCGGCCAAAAACGGCCAACCCGAGGTGACTCGCCGCCGCCGGAGCACGGCGTAGCCGCCGTGCCGGAGTTGCGATTTGGGCCGAAAGAGGCCCTGGGCCTAATTTGGGTTTTTTTTGGAACACGTGCAGGTACCAGTAGTGCGTTTCAGTTCCCCGAGGAAAATTCATGGAAAATTAGGGACAGCCTGCAAGCGCACTGTGAAGCCGTGTTCGGACCCCGAAACGAGTAAGGACCCCTCACCCTATTTCCTATCACGGTATTAAAGTTCAAAATGATAAAACGGTATTTCTTGAATTAACGAATGTGTGAAATTGCTTAAGGTGGCTAATGGAGCCCGAGTCTAGTGTGATTGGTGATTTACTGTTATTTGGCCTGTTTACAGCTTTAAATGCAAAATGAGGTTTGATGTGTTCATTTTACAGATTTGTGTGCATATACTACATTTTTATTAATTATGGGTTGAATGACTGAAAAACTGATACTGTATGTTGTCTGTTTGACATGAATTACGATTTGTTTGTTTAAATGTGAATTGATGATGCTGACTGAGGAAAAGGAAAATGAAAGATTGTGTAGACTGATAATTGTATTATGGGGGTCAGCCTGACTAGATATCCTGGGAGATGGTGGACGGACTGGGTCCGTAGGGAACCCTACCGGGATTGTGGTCTCACATGCCGGACGGGGTATGGAGATCTTATGGTTTTGGCACCCATACCGGACGGGGTATGGGGACGGCCCGTTTCACCCTCATACCGGACGGGGTATTGAGGTTTATGGTTTTGGCGCCCATACCGGACGGCGTATGGGGACGGCCCTGGAAACTGATTATGAATGTTAAAGGTTAACGGGTAGCGGGACCCCTATGGACCCCCACGGATACTAGTAGGCTGGTAAATGAGAAAAAGATATGTTGTACAATGATTGAATTACAAAAGGCGTGATAAGTGTTATGTTTTACAACTTATATTATTATATGATTATGATAATGTTATTGTTTTTCTTATATTGTTTTCATAAATTCTACCGAGGTAAGTGGATGGAAAATGTTTTTATGTTAATAAGCGAGTTTGTTGTAAATTATGCTTCATTGGTCTTTTTGTGTTTTCTACCCACCTTTACCTCCGTGACGGTGAGATATCGTGATGTTCTTACTGAGCTAGTATAGCTCACTCTTTATTTAACCATTTCAGATCAGGAAGACATGGTTCCCGAGCCCGTTCCGCATGAGGACGACGAAGGAGATGCCTAGAGACTCTGTAGTCATGCTCA